GGTTAGAAAGGAGAAAACCAAGAACAGAACAAGAACAGACCAAGAACAGACCAATAACATACCAAGAACCTACCAGAACCGACCAGAACAGACCTTGCAAAAAACTTAAAAAATATACATTTTTTCATATTTTCTTCACTTTTTGGGTATTAATAATCTTTGTAGTTTATAAAAGTGGAACAAAAATTGGTTAGAAAGGAGAAAATCAAGAACAGACCAAAAACAGACTAAGAACAGACCAAGAACAGTTCTTGCAAAAAAGTTAAAAAATATACATTTTTTCATATTTTCTTCACTTTTTGGGTATTAATAATCTTTGTAGTTTATAAAAGTGGAACAAAAATTGGTTAGAAAGGAGAAAATCAAGAACAGACCAAAAACAGACTAAGAACAGACCAAGAACAGTTCTTGCAAAAAAGTTAAAAAATATACATTTTTTCATATTTTCTTCACTTTTTGGGTATTAATAATCTTTGTAGTTTATAAAAGTGGAACAAAAATTGGTTAGAAAGGAGAAAATCAAGAACAGACCAAAAACAGACTAAGAACAGACCAAGAACAGTTCTTGCAAAAAAGTTAAAAAATATACATTTTTTCATATTTTCTTCACTTTTTGGGTATTAATAAACTTTGTAGTTTATAAAAGTTGAAAAAAAATTGGTTAGAAAGGAGAAAATCAAGAACAGACCAAAAACAGACTAAGAACAGACCAAGAACAGTTCTTGCAAAAAAGTTAAAAAATATACATTTTTTCATATTTTCTTCACTTTTTGGGTATTAATAAACTTTGTAGTTTATAAAAGTGGAAAAAAAATTGGTTAGAAAGGAGAAAACCAAGAACAGACCAAGAACTAACCAAGAACAGTTTTTGCAAAAAAGTTAAAAAATATACATTTTTTCATATTTTCTTCACTTTTTGGGTATTAATAAACTTTGTAGTTTATAAAAGTGGAAGAAAAATTCGTTAGAAACGAGAAAACCAAGAACAGACCAAGAACCGACCAGAACCGACCAGAACAGACCTTGCAAAAAAGTTAAAAAAATATACATTTTTTCATATTTTCTTCACTTTTTGGGTATTAATAAACTTTGTAGTTTATAAAAGTGAAAAAAAAAATTGGTTAGAATGGAGAAATGAGTCATCAAAAGAAATGCCACATCCTCTTCCATTAAGTTGCAAAGTGGCTTGGCGATTTTAGAGAAATCTGTAATGAATCGCCGGTAGAATCCCGCATGGCCCAGAAAACTTCGAATTCCCTTCACATTTGTTGGTGGTGTTAAATTCTCAATTGTGGAAATCTTGGCTCGATCCACCTCCAAACCTAGCGACGAAACTCGGTGACCAAGGACAATCCCCTCTTTCATATGAAGTGGCACTTCTCCCAATTAAGCACAAGGTTTGTCTCTACACATCTTTGAAGCACCAACCCAAGATTGTGCAAACAAGAATCAAAAGATGAACCAAAGACTGAGAAGTCATCCATAAATACCTCCATAAGATTCTCCACCATGTCGGCAAAGATGGCCATCATGCATCGTTGGAAGGTAGCCGACGCATTGCATAACCCGAAAAGCATCCGGCGAAAGGCGAATGTACCATATGCACAAGTGAATGCGGTTTTCTCCTGGTCCTCCGGGGCAATGGCAATTTGGTTATAACCCGAATAGCCATCAAGGAAGCAATAGTACTCGTGCCCCGCCAATCGATCTAGCATTTGATCAATGAAGGGCAATGGAAAATGGTCTTTCCAGGTGGCCTTGTTGAGCTTCATATAATCAATATACACTCGCTACCCCGTTACCGTGCGAGTTGGAATGAGCTTATTTTTCTCATTTTTAACAACCGTCATGCCACCCTTCTTTGGCAACACTTGCACCGGACTAACCCATGAACTATCATAAATGGCATATATAATACCGGCATTTAATAGCTTCAGAACCTCTGCTCTCACAACCTCCTTCATTGCGGGATTAACTCTCCGTTGATGTTCAATAAAAGGCTTGTAGGAGTCCTCCATGAGAATCTTGTGCATACAAATGGCCGGACTAATACCCTTAATGTCAGAAATTGACCAAGCAAAAGTGGATGAGTACCTTTTTAGAACATTGATCAACTTCCGCTCGTCCTCCTCGCTCAAAGATGCTGATATTATGACCGGCTTAGTGGAGTTATGTCCCAAAAATATGTAGCGAAGATGGTCGGGTAATTGCTTCAGAACTAGCCCGTCACTAGTGGTGGTTTTCAATTCCGAGCCTTTATAAAGTGTGGGCACCTTAAGTACATCCTCTTCCTTCGGATTAGCCTTCTCCTCCGGTAGTGCCTCTAGAGCATAGACACTATCAATCAAGTCCACTTCACACGCACCGAACTCCACCCCGAGATCCCCTTTAGAGAGCGGTGTTGAAAGACATCTCTCCAAAGGGTCCTTATAAATAATGGTTTGAAAGAAGTCCTTTAAGCACGGGGCCACCACATCCCCCCAGTTACAACTTGGTCGCTCTTCCCGAAATTTCATGGCGTTACTAATGTTGAACTTTACCTCTTCGTCGTTCACCCGGATTGTTAAGTTACCATCATGGACATCAATCAAAGCCTTCCCGGTAGCAAGAAAAGGTCGGCCCAGAATAATAGGAATTTCCTGGTCCTCTTCCATATCTAACACCACAAAGTCAACTGGAAAAATGAATTTATCAATTTTAACCAAGACATCCTCGATAATACCTTTAGGGTAGGTGAGAGAGCAGTCCGCCAATTGTAATGAGATGGTGGTAGGTGTGATCTCTCCAAGGTCTAGCTTTTGGAAGATAGAGAGAGGCATGAGATTGATGCTAGCCCTGAGATCACACAAGGCCTTCTCAATGTGAAGTTCTCTAATGATGCATGGGATGGTAAAACTACCCGGATCCTTCAACTTCTCTGGTAGTTGTCTCTTTATGATAGCGCTACACTCTTCCGTAAGCTTCATCGTTTCATAGTCCTCGAGTTTGCGCTTCTTGGACATAACTTCCTTCATGAATTTGGCATAGTTTGGCATTTGCTCTAGAGCGTCCATGAAGGGGATGTTGATGTGGATCTTCTTGAAGGTATTGAGAAAATTCTCAAATTGCTCGTCAAGCGCCTTCTTCTGGAACCGTTGAGGGAATGGCAATGGGGGAGTGATACGAGGTGGGTTATCCGAATAAGTGATCGAACCCGGTCTAACCACTGGTGCTTCCTTCTTCGTCTTCAGATTTTCCTCCTTTGACTTATCCTTACCATCATCATTGCTCTTGATAAGCTCCTCATCAACCATGGCGTTTTGAACACTCGGGCCTTCAAGCTCTCTACCACTCCTCAATGTGATGGCCTTGCACTCATTTGGGTTCTTCTCGGTGTCGCTTGGGAAGGACCTTGATGATTGCCCTTTTATAGCATTAGCCAATTGGCCAACTTGTGTTTCTAGTGCCTTCATAGTGCCTCCCAAATTGGTGTAGTGAGTTTCAATGTTGTTGAGACGAGCGTCATGTTGATCAAGATGAGCCTTAGAGTCCACAATATATGTCTTCAAAAGCTCTTCAAGTGATGAGGAAGGCTTTTTCATTGCCGGTTTACTTGACTCCAGAGTTGGTTGTAAAACATTTTGGTTGTTGGCATAAGTGAAATTCTCATGGTTTCTGAGCCCGGGATGATAGTATGTCGGTAAGTTGTTGTTGGGCCTAAAATTGAAGCTACGGTTGATGAAGTGACATTGCTCATCATATGAATCACTTGAGCTCAAAGCTTGTGCCATCTTTACAGCTTCTTGATTTCCATTGGCATTGGCTGCGGTAAGTCCCTGGATTTGATTAGTCAAGAGCGCCATTTGAGCCATGAGAGACGTCATTTGATCCACATCATAAATTCCTGCTACTCTCTTCACAGTGGACCGCTCGTTTTACCATTGACAACTATTCATTGCCATGTCCTCAAAGAGATTGAGTGCATCCCCGGGTGTCTTTGACAAGATGGTTCCACCAGCCGTTGCATCAATATGAGCCTTAGTTTGCCCAGTAAGCCCATTGTAGAAAAGTTAAACTTGGAACCAATCCTCAATACCGTGTTGAGAACACTTGCGGAGCATCTCTTTAAATCGTTCCCATGCCTCATATAATTGTTCATACTCAAACTGCCAAAATTGAGTAATCTCAGCCCTCAGTTAAGACGTTTTGGAGGGCGGAAAGAATTTGATGAGGAACTTTTGGGCCATGTCCTCCCATGCGGCTACACTCCCTGATGGTGAAGATTGAAGCCATGATCGAGCCCGGTCTCGCAAGGAGAATGGGAAAAGTTTCAAACGGATGATCTCGACACTCACTCCATTAATCTTCACTGTTCATAAATCTCCAGAAAAGTGGCCAAATGGATATTGGGATCCTCGTGCGGCAAGCCTCCATATTGGTTCTGCTAGACCATGTTGACGAGGGCTGGCTTGAGCTCGAAGTTGTTGGCATTGACTTGTTGACGTTGGATGCCCGAATAATTCTCGTTCACCACGGGCTTGAAATAATCTCGCAACGTCCGTTGTTGGTCTGCTTGGTTTTTTTCCTCGGCCATGTTTTTAGCCCTAGCTTGTCATTTTTTCCTTAAAGCTCGAATAGTTCGTTCGATTTCTAAATCCAAAGGCAAGAGTTCCGAGCCACATGCTTTTTGCATGCACCTACGAACACAACCAAAGAAAAATAGATAAATAAATACAAATAAAAAAAACTTAGATTAAAACAAGATATTTCTTCACTATAGTAGTCTAATTCTTAGCCGTTCAATTCCCGGCATTGGCGCCAAAAACTTGTTGCATATAATTTGACTACACTTGCAAGTGCACAAGATGTACAAGTAATAAAGTGGTCCGAAGACCGATATCGTCCCACGAGGATTGACGTTAAGAATATAAACTAACTATTGTGAATATCATATCTTAACTTTATCTAAGCGATCAAATTTGGATGTGATAAACTCAAAGAAAAACTAAAATAAAGGAAAACTAAATCAAAAGGAAAGATGACAGTAATTAATAATACATGCTGAAATTAGAACGGAAAATCAATATGATGAAAATGCTAGGGTCTTGACTTCACTCTATTGCGATTATGTTTCTCCATAGTAATGTGCCTAACCTAACTCAACGCTCTAAAGAACCTAGAGTGATGTGTTTCCTTATACCTTCTCTCGAGTGACGCATAAAGAATGTGTAGGTGATATCAAGCCTATATCTCTATACAACTATTCATCCCTACCTTCATTAAGTTCCACTCTAGAAACAATTCCTAGAAGTCCACTTCTCAATTTCACAACCTAAAATTATTTCAGTTACCTAGGCAATGTTTATCTCTCAATCTCACACCAACCTAAGTTGTTCTATCAGTTCTTTAAGAATTCCAAATCACTTTCCATAAAAATCTGCACACCTAACCTAGGGCAAAATGCGTGTTTTTAATAAAATCGGGAGGCGACATATCGCATAGAAATAGGCGACATATCGCAACTCTCTCTATTATCTGTGCACCAGACTAGGGCAGGCGGCAAATCAGATGACATATCACCTGGAAGGAAGTGACATATCACCTGGAGGCGGCAACATATTGCCTGGAAGGAAGCGACATGTCACAGCTCTCGCTGTTTCTTCGTGCAAGTTTGCTCGATTTTTGCTCCTTTTCAAGCCGCATCGCCATCTGAAGGCAACGTATCGCCTCATTCTCTGTCTTTTTGATCCAAAATGCCTCAAAACTCAGTGATTTCATCCATTACTGCACACTCAAGGGAAAATCATCAAATCCACATAAAAACTTGAGGAAAAACATGCCGAAACTAGCTAAAGGAGTAACGAATAAGTGCATAAATTACACACTCATCAGGTTTACACAACTTTGCCTGACTTTCAGAGATTTTTGTTGGGACTATTGCTATTGGACAGGGGTCAATGAATGCACATACAGCCGTCAATATTTTGAATGTGGCAAAAATGGCTGCCACGCAACCAGAAGAGGGTACATGGGACTCATATGAAGTCCGGGATGCAGAAGCCAATAGAAGCAGACAGTTTCAAGGTCCTATTACTCGATCCAAGAAGAAGGGCAAGAAGAAGGTTACAGTTGACAATGCTATAGAGGCTTTAGCAAAGAGTGCTACCCTACGCAGTGAGACATCTGTTTAAAAAGTTGATTTATTTCAGCAATATTTAGCTGATAGGCAAGCCCGTACTATGGTAGCAGCCGAGGCACAGAAAGATGATCCTACTACAAGTATTGAAACTTGTATGGATTTGCTGAATGGGTATGAGGAGTACTTAGACGACAATGCGTATAATAAGGCAGCAGAGAAATTGGCTGTTGACATTTCCTTTAGGAGGATGTTTGTGAAAATGCCAACTCATCGTCATCTTTCATGGATTCGAAGCTTGTAATTTATTGGGTTCTTTATTTATGTTGCTTTCTTTATTTTTTTCTTCCCAGACTTGTGTTTTTTTTAAGTATTGTTGAACATACTGCCTGAACTGTTGGAAAATAGATGGCATCGAGTGCGTAGCAGAATTTAAAAAATTTAAATCAATGTCAAAGCCAAACAAGAACATGTTCATGATGCTATATAACATAAATACTAAAGATCTAAAACATACCTTTTTGAGATTTCAGGAAACTGCACGTCTGACAAATCTAAGCGTTCCAAACAGCAACCGGAAGAGCCTCAACCAACTAGTCTTCTTTGCTATTCTCGTTTCCACAATCGGTGTGCGGGTGGGCACACGTCGTTTAATCTCCTCTAGGTATTCTTGATCTCCTTCCAATCACAAGAGAGCCAAAGAAAAAATTGTTCTTGAGAATTAAACAATTTTTCCTCTCAGGAATCTTTTATCAATAGCCTCCAAAAAGTCTCTCAAGTGATCTAATGAGTAATGTGACTTAATAGGCTATTTATAGTGTTTAGGAAGTCATACTTTCGTAACAATTAGGTTTCCCAAAGTTCTAATCGCATCCAGAGTTGATTTTACCATGTCATCATGCATTTTATGTTACAATCGGTCGACCGGTGACAGAGACGTTATAACTCACCGGTCAACCTGTCTTCACTAACCGGTCGACCGGACCAGTCGACCTGTGACTGGTCTACCCAACCGGTCGACCTGTCTGCACTGACAAAAGTTACTTTTCCTAGTTTTTCAATACGGAAAACTTGCATAGAGCCTCAATTTTGATTCAAACAACCCAATAGAGAAATTGC